CCCCTTCCACGCGGCTGTCTGCGCGCAGTTTACATTTTTAATCGGGGGCCTGTGTCGAGAGAAGCACACTTAAAATTTGAATTATTTAAAGAAGCTGGCCAGAGCTTACCTTCGGTACTCTTTTCGCTTTATTATTGACACTCTTTGCACTTTTACGTGCCGTTCGGCGACTGCTCGATTTTTATTTCAAACGCATTATTTTTTCATTAAGCGAGAGGAGAGAGAGAGAGAGAGAGACAGAGAGAGAGAGAGAGAGAGAGAGAGAGAGAGGCATGAAAATGCATGATGAGGTTCTACGGTAATTGAGAATTTAACGGATAATTTACTCGGCATTTAATCGTACCGATTCTACTGAAACATCCGTAACTCAAATAGCATAATGTCTCTTGATTGTAAAGTAATTCTCAAATTTTTAATGACATAACACAATATGCTGAGCAATTGATGTTGTAACGAATGAAAAAATCATTATTGTCATTTCACCTGATCGTTGAAAAAAATCTTATAATTATTAGCTTATTAAACGTTAAAGATATTCCAAAGCTTTGATAATGTATTGGAAAAAATCGAGTGAGAAAAACAATGAAAGACAAGATTTTTCGGCCTTTTAATTTTCATAAAATATATACGTAACATGCCATAAGTAACAATATATATATATGCTTAATTCATAAGAATGAAATATCTCAAAGGATATGTCGAATCGAATTTACATTCAATATGCTATTCTTTTTCATCTTTTCCCCCACATTTCCCAGAAAGTCCAATGTTTTTAAATTAAACTTAGCGTTTAAATTTAACCGTTATTAAATGCAACTAATTATTATTAAATATAATGTAAATATAATGGCAAACAAAAATTTCTGTTATTAAAATATTTCATCAAATTCATAATTTCTTTTTAAATATTATTCGTTTAATTTTTAAAAAATTTATTAAAAACCAGTTCGAGCAAAAATTAATAAAGCAACTCATATAGGATAAATATTATTACATGAATAGTACATGGTTTCTCTCGACAATTATATAAATACGTTTTATTCAATTTCTCAAATTACCATTACATTTTCTGAATTTGCTATCTGGATACAAATTTTATTGAAAAAAAAAAAATAAATAAAAAAACAAAAAAATAATAATAATAATAACGATCAAATTTCATATATTTTATTTATAATTGTTCAAACTAAATTTTTTCACGAGTCTCGACAATTGAGAATATTATTTTTCAATATTATACATTCAAAGAAAAGATTTTATGTCAAATATAATATTCTAAAAAAGAGAAACTTGTTTAAAAATACTTTCTATATGAATATTAATCATAGGTTAGAGGTGCCGTGTACAGTAAAAACACACTCGCGGTATATAAAGAACTATAATGTATAGAATTCAACGTATCAATTATTTTCTATAATGAAGGATATAAAGATAGACATGTGTATTCAATTAAAAATTATGCTAAACTACGCTAAAATACAAAAATCATACAAGATACGTCCAAGTGCTCGACTTACTAGATTACGATAATTTCACTATATATATATGTATATATATATATATATATATATATATATATATATATATATATATATATATATATTTTCTTAAAACTAATTTGCTTAAAACTAATTGGTCATTCGCGTTAATAATGAAGAATCATCAATAATGAAGCATCGCTGCTATAGACAAGTAGAGTTTGTAAAAAAAGCCGTATTCCATTAAAATACACATCCATTGTCGTCAATGTTTAAATAAATCTCGATATTAAAATTGCATACTCAACGAAAATTGCAATAACATTGTATTCTCACAGTCGTAGAATATTATAAAAATTACCAAATCTTTCACGCGAATTATTCGAGTCGAGCAATATTTTAGTGTTAATCTTTCTTTCAGAAATCGGTTCACTTCGAAATAACCTATGAATAATGATGAATCTCTGTAATTTGGAAGGATCCCTGAAGAAATATCTATTAAACGATCATATCGTCAAAAGGCGTAAAGTCATTTTTCTTCTCTCTTACTTCTTAGAAGCTTGAATTTTAAAATAGAAATTCGACTATTAATCAAAGATCGATAGACCATCTTATGGATGGGTCGACATCAAAGGAAGCCTTAAAATTACTGATTTATCTTATAAATGGGCGCTTTAATATAAATACTATAACCGTGGAACTGGGTCAAAGCTCACGCGACCCTCTCGGTAGGATTCATTGGAATGATTAATAAGAAAAATAAGAAGAATAAGAATATGAGAATGTAGCGTGAGTGGCGGTAGCGGCGGGTGGGGAGGAAGACGACGAAGGGAAGGGTTAGGGAGGAAAGGAATAAGCATATATAGGTATTTTGGGAAAGGGGCAATGATCAGTGGGAATCGAATGAATTTCAGGGCTCGTGCATCACCTGATGAAGGTCGAGTCCGCGGCTGGACTTGAGGGCGCGGGCGATGAGCTCGCGGTGGAGGCCGTATTCGTCTCCTCCACGTCCATCATCTCTCATGCCTTTTGTTTATGCAGCTCTGGCACGGCCTTGGCTCTTCTCCCTCTTGGCGTTTACGTTGTTGGTCCGGGCTCCGCGTGCCACCGACGACCACCGATGGCCCAACCCCCCGAGCTTCGGTGCGTCACTCCGCCACCCCCGCCCCCCGATCTCTTTAATTGGTGCTATTATTGCCGTCGAGGCTCGGTGCACCTGCCAGGTGAGAAGGTGAGCTCTTACGTCGTAGCTGTCTAGCTGTCGAAGCCGACCGCGAACGCGGCCTCACGGGAGACGACTGGACGCGCGCCCGCGACCAAAACGCCCCCGACGGCGCGCCACGGAGGAAGCGCAACCCCACCGTCAGGGGGTGGCATTAGCGAACGCCCCCGCGCCACCTGTGCTGGGCCGATAAGGTCGCGCTGCCTCGGTAGATACGCACCTCGGTCCACTCGACCATCGATTGCTTTATATTTGCCCCTCTCCGTCTGTCTCTCTCCTTATTTTACATTTAGCTAGTGACGCGGCTTCCTACGTTCGACCTTACAGCGTCTGCTGGTGCCTCTGGCTTTTCTTATACACAGCACAAACTACCCTCTAATACTGTGTTTTGACTGCCGCGTTAATGAGCCACATTTTCCGAGACGAGATTCGCACATTTTCGTTCACGATTAATTAAACTATCAGAGCTTTATCTCTTTTGTTGACGAAATGCATTTTCATTCTTATAATGGTTTTTATATTGCAAATTGCAAAAATTTTCTACCGTCATTATTAATTTTAATATAAATTTCAATATTTCAAAATCAAATTTATATATATTTATTTTATCGGCAATAAATTGCCGAGATAACAACAACAATTTAGCGTTATTATTATTAAAGGAGGCTAACTACAATAAAGAATACCAAGATAGACGATAGCTAGATAATTGTATTGAAAATGCATTCGTCACTATAATTGCATGTGTGCTTGGATATATTTATTAATTACAGTTACGGTTCATACTTCCGTGAGATTCATCTGTATTTAAAGAAAGTTCGCGAAATTTAAACATATGCAAATAGTATTGTAATTCATTGAAACAGAGTATAAACGTGTTTATTTTTATTTTCAAACACTATAGAGATAATAATATAATGCAAGTTAAATATCAATAATTGATAAATTGTACAGCCTGTGTGATTGCTTTTACTTTCCAAAATTTCCTTAATAAGGAATTATCTTCAGTTATATAAAGAATTTTAAGATCATGTACATGCCGTTCTTACATAATTAAACAATTATTTTAACTTATTGCTACACAGTAGATTATAATAATTGTCGTTGTTAAAATATTAACTAAAAATTAAAAAATGATTAAATACAATTGTCAAGATTAAGTTATTGCCTAATAAATTCATTATAAATACATATTTATCTATTTTTATAAGCTGTACTTAATGTTCAATTTAACTACTATCTTATGTACGAGTCTCAAATAATCTAATATAAAAGTCTTTAACATGAGAATAAATGATAATAGAAAACAGTACAAGTTGTTTAAATCTAGAGTTCTATAATTTTATCTATTCATACAAAAATTTAGCTAGAAATTTTCAAGTTAACTCAAGGTAAATTAAATTAGACATTGATTATGAAATATATTTTTTAAGAAATTAATTAACAAAGCTCCTTTTTACATTGAGAACATTGACCACAGTCATAGGATACGTAGTAAAGGCAAATAATTAATAAAAGGAATATAATAAAAACATTAGGAATGGTGCGGTAAAAATTCATATGCAATAAAGTCCGATACACTTATGCAAGTACGTATTAATATACATGCACTCATACACTCATGTATGTAAAGAATATTAATTAATTCAAAGTTAATTCGTTTTTACACAGACGCGCGTGTGTGCACACAGAGGTACGTACACTTATCCTATACTCTTGTGCATCAACGATATGAATTTAACTAATTTAATTAATATTCACCCACTTTTATAGAAATACATTTAAGTACTCGCGTTAAATAAAAATTATGCCCTTTCATTTAATAATGTATTAAGGAATAAATATTGGCATTACAAATAATATTAACATTTACATTAAAATTAAAACTTTACAATCTTTCGTGATAACATAAAAATGTCAAGTATGTTAAAAAATTTAATTGAATTTTATATGGATTTTAATGAAACTTCAACTCATAATATATATATATATATATATATATATATATATATATATCGGATATTTTAATATACATGAAACAAAATATTTATCCCAAACTCTTAAGCATAATTAATTTTTTCAATTACTAATGTACAATAGTAAATGTAGTTTCTCTACACTCTAAATAGAAATATATACATATTGGTAGGAAAGGATAAATACTTAAATTTTTTATATTTATCATTATATAATTAATATTTCAAAATAGGTATAAAAATTGTTCTCCAACATGTAAAAGGAAATTTTAGCAAGGAATAAAAAAAATTAGGATTTTTTCTTAAAATTAAAACATAAACAAGCACTAATAACTAATGTTTATTGATAGTTAAATTGTTCAAAATTAAATTGTCGTAATGTTTGATCAAGAAAATGGCTGTTGTGCTTCGATGCTTTCAACGTCTTCTGAAACATTTGTGCTTTCTGACATATTATCTACCATCCAAGCTACCTGAGACAAAAAAATTTCAAATACTTTCAGTTTCAATGAATTTTAATATTACAAATTATATTAAGACGATAATATAAAAGACAACTTTATACATTTATTTCAAACGTATAAGAATTGGTAATTACCGTGTTATATTGCTCATTTACTATAGTTTCATACAAATATATCATTTGGAAATTTCATTACGAAGAAACAAATGATTATACAAGTTCATTAATAGATTTTAATTTTTAATTAACCTTGAAAATTTAATTTATACATTCACAAAGTTTATTTTTTCTATATGTCTTTTAAAATAATTTCCTTTCGATCTCTATCTGTTTCTCTCCCTCTCTCTCTCTCTCTCTATATATATATATATATATATATATTAATAACATTAAACAGCCATCTTTTAAAAAGTAATTTTATCTAATCAATATTTATTTGTAATGGATATTTATTATACATAAAAATAGAGACACTAATTAATTGCTCAATATGCCAATTTATTCGTTAATTTTCGTTAATTTTTATTCAATAGTTAGTTTCATTATGAAATTTTCAGTTAATAAAAATATTCTGTGGTATTACACCAAAAGGTAAATATACAAAATTAAACAATATACGATAATTGACAATTAACAGTATATTAAGAGCTGAAGAGGACATGGTAGTTGTGTGTGACTCATTTGTCCACATTTTAAACGAATTGTGCGTATTTCATGCATCAACAAACAAGACATTTACAAAATTCTATTATTATATAATATAATTATAAAAACATGCTTCAAAGAGAGTGTTCATTTATTTTTAAATATACCGCATAACAAAGAAATAAATAATAATGCAAGAATTTTCCATATACTTTGTAAATATTACTAAATTAGTTAAATAATTATTAGACATTCTGTGAATTCAGTATTTCATTGAAATATCGTTAAAAAGAATTAAATTTCTATTTACGGGAATATAACTAAGCCTCTCTAATTAAATGATTCTAATTATTAAAACTATTTTAAGCTTTTCTTAATAATTTATTATATTTAAACAGTAGTTACAACTCGCATTTTGTAAGAAACGAAATGACGTACAAAAGTTTCAGCGACTAATAAAGGGAAGACTAGAGATGCTTCGGCAAAAATCTGCAACAAAAATTTTATGCATAATTTCAAATTATTTAAATTAATTTTTAATAATAATACTACCTTAACAGCTTTGGACTCTTTTTTTATTTTTCCCCAGGAAATAGCTTCATCGGGTTGTGCGCCACTGTCACTCCCATCATATTCTGATGCTGTATTTAAAAATACACCAAAATCTGCACCATTTCTCTATAAAAAAAAATTATATATACATTTAATGTAACCAGTTTATTACATTAAAAGATTTGTATTTGTAGAAAAAATTTATACAAATATTTCACAAATTTAATAAACGATTGTTTTTTTCTAATCAGATAGTGCAACATAAATTTGTTTTTATATTGAAAAAACTAAAAAAATGTTAATACATGAAGTTAATATAACTATTATCATCTGTTTTAAAAAATACGATTTTAACAGTAAAATAAAACTAACTTGGTTTTACCATTAAATTAGCATTACAAATGTGATGTTTAACAACTCCACCCCCAATAATTATTACGCCACTTCTTATAGCTTTCATTGCTATTGTATTTATTCGTTTCAAATCTAAAAAATAAATTTCAATTATGTATTAATGAAAGTTATATACTTTAATTACAATTTTACATCTAAACCTACCGGAAAGAATATCGATGACAAGGCCTGGATTCTTAAAAGAATGAAAGTACATCATGTCGCCCAGGCTTCCATCGGTTAATGCTGGACTGAATACTGGAATTTTATTTTTAGCTGCCCAATAATAAATAGAATCACGATTATTGATTTCTTCACCTAGCCTTGCAATAACCTTCGATGGAGTCCACAGGATTCCCTATAATATTTTTTTATTTTTTTATTTTTTATTATCTATATTTTTTACTATTGCAATATACCTTTTTCTGCTCTTCTAACATTTTATCTAAAATTGGCATAACCCAATCTTCAAAACGGCAGTAATTATCATTTGGTACTAATAAATTTCCAATTCGATTTATTCCCTTATCCCTTAATGTTTTACCATCTAAATGAAAATCTCCAACGTAAGTTGGAGCTAAACATTTTATAAAATCTTCTTCAACACCACCGGCTGTTGTTACAATGCAATCGACCTACACATATTGTCATTATTTATTAATCGTTTATTTAAGTTATAAATTTATGTAACCATGTCGTACCATTCTGTGCTCTGCTAAAAATCGAATTGTTTCTCTAACTCCGCAAGATGCCATATTAGAAGTATATCCAAGAAATATTGTACAACTATGTCTGCGTTTGATAAATTCATCCTCTTCTAAAGTATCTTCTTGATCTTCTTCGAGAGGTATTCGACGTGCTACGAGCATACGAAGGATTTCTTCAACAGCTAAACCAAAATTCGTAGCTTGAAAACCCGAGTACTTATAACTTTTAAAAAGAGCTGAATAGTTGATTCCATCGTTAAATTCATAACCTATAAAATAAAATATCCGTGAATAATAAAGTAGCGGTGGTTGTCAAAAAATCCTATAAAACTTAATGAAAACAAATGAGTCCAAACAAACTTTTACCAACAATTTGATTTCTCCTTAATCTTATTATTCAAAATCATGATTTAGAAATTTTTAAAAGTAAATAACTCTATAAACTTACAATTCTAGCCTTTGCTCAAAGACAATTTCCATTGTAAGGCAAATTTGCGAAGTAACAAAAACGTATTTGCATAGCTACAGGCATAGATTTTCAATCTTACATTGCTCAGTCTGTTAAAAAGTAACACGCTGTTTGCAATAAATGTCTGTTTTATCGCAAAATCATTTGTAAAAAAATAAAAACTTGTATTAAAATTAATTAAAAATGACAAGTCGTTTAATTGAAAAACTAACATAGCAACAAACCTTTTACCACAGGTGTTGTCGATGGAAGAGGGGCACTGTGCTTTAGTACATTGTTTATCAAAGATTCAGGCACTTTATCCTCGCTTCTTGAGTTTAATAGAAAATTTTTCTCCTTCTCTTCATCCCGAACACATTCTTTCTGCTCCACTGGTACTTTATTCAGCCTACAGTTCGCTTGGGCACTTTCTGCATCGGTATCACTTTTCTTCGCGCTCTCTTGTCCTTTATTACCTTTCTTGGACTTCTTTTTACGCTTAGCACTTTTCTTCGTAATTTCCTGTTCTTTATCGCTCTTTTCCGAATCTTCGAGCACTTTCCTATCTATTTTTGAACTCTCCGCCGAATCACAATCATCCTCTTTCGAGCTCTCCGTGCCTGTACCCTTCTTTTTACTCTTGCAATTATTATTCGCCGATTTTTCAAGCTCCATGTCGTAAACACGTAAACAAGGAAACCTTCATTCAACAAACATACGTTTTTAAAGAAAATCCACGCCTCCTCCGCATAGAGAAATAACGAGTAGCTTCTACAAAAGTAGGTTAGAGGTTCGCCATGAATCGATCCTAACGCGGCTCTTCACTTGTACTCTTCTATTAGCGCATGATAAACACAGAAATCTAAAATCTAATCCGTTTAGCCACCGCTCACTACCACCATTCGTTGCTTCCACTTTTCCAATTTGAAACTAAACTCTGAACTCCGGGGACCATCCCCGGCCTCCTGCAACCCTCCGCGCGATCTGATCCCATCTACCGTCGGGCCTATCCCGGCGAGCGCAGCTCCTCTGCCGGTGGAACCAGCAACTGAGCGCAACACGTGTTTTCATTACAAATCCTTAAGTACAAAAATGCATTGTTTCGGATGGGATTTAGTGCTACATACGCGACCACGATTTAAATGTCAATCCTGCGTCTACACGCACACATGTTCGCAAGAATATCGATGCATCGCACGTGGCATTCAAATGTACGCATTTGCAGTTTGCTCCTTCGTTCGTTGGTATGGAAGTGCGCGCGCGCGCGCGCGCGAATGTATATAGGAAAACAGCAATAAAATTGCGTCGAGGGCTAATTTTAGCTCGCGAATGACGTTCCCTAGGATGCCAAGGGGCGCAACGGCGCTTCACTCGCGTCTCAAACTACGAAACGAATATTTTGGTTGTTTAAATGAGTCGGAAGCAAGTGATAAAGTTGAAAAATAAATATCGTTTGAGTCTGTCTCCCTTTACCATACCATGCACCCTCTCATACAACAGCAGGCTGTCTTAATCTTTCCACGGACGATAAAATAAACACAGCTTTTGTAATGGGAAGAGGGAAGGAGGATAAACGACCAAAGGCTTCCGAAGGCGAATAACTCCTCAAGGACAAGAAATCCAACGTTTGTTGGTTTACGTATAGCATTGTACGCGCGAGAATTGTAAACTCCCTCTTGTTAACGTCAGAAGTGATATTTCAAACGAAATTTTGGTAATAAGCAGTCACCATTCTCACAAATATCACACTGTACGAGTACTTATAATATTGGTGCTTGCACTTCTTGGAAAAGATAAGACGCAAACAAGGTAAAAAGCCACTTTCCGCACTAAAGTGAAATCTAGAAAAATCGAAAATTGTATTCTCACACTCGAGAGAATAGCGATTGCGCCGAGAATTTACAACAACACGAAAGTGGTTTGCTAGCGAATATATTTAAACTATTCTAATTATTGTAGAACGTGTTTAGTAATTTAACAAAATGCAGAAAATGATTATTCATAGTCATAATAACATAATAACACAATATCTTAGTCCCTTCTCCGTATTTTAAATAATCCTTTATCAGTTAAAAAATACGAATATCATATTTTCTAATATTTTATAAATATTCCTTAGTGTTGGATGAATGAAGTATTGTACAGTGTAGAATACAATTTTCAAAAATGACATTTTATCGGCATTAAGCTGATGTTCTCTGAAAAAAAAATCATTGTTTTGAATTCACTTTTACGTGACTAAACTTCAAATGCCCAAAATTGTTGGACATTTATAAATTATATGTAAAATTGAAATTGGATATAATAATAATGTGCATTTTAAAGGCACAACGTGCATTGTTAAATGAATTATTGAATTTCTGTGACAGATAATGTATATATAAAACGTATAAACGTCGCCTGAAACATGAAATTCATGTGTTCATATAATCATTGTGATTTCTTCTTACATAAACTAGCAATTTTTAGTCTCATAATTGGATTTTTATAGATATAGACTTATATAACAATAATTCCATATATCCGGAAATTCTTCTTCTTTTTTTTTTTTTTTAATTGCATCTCCGTTCATAACATACAAAAGATAAATAAATAATTAATCTTATTTAATCTTAATATACTTTATTGAGAACATTATTAAATAAGTAATAACGATAATTGAAGTATTTATAAATAAATAATAAACTATGACTATCAAAAGTCCATTAAATCTTCGTATTTTCGTTATATCCGTGATAAAAACTATTTTTTAAATACAATGTTATGAACAAACATAAGGATTATAATAATTTGCCTATTTATATGCATTATATGATTCATCGATCTATTTTTCTACTCTTATAGCGCAGAGCGCTACTATAAAGCCACTCACTTCGAACTGACCCCCCCCCCCCCGGTCCCTCGTACACGTTGCATGTTGCACTCGACGGTGCCTAAATCAAATGTCACTAATGTCCTCAGTTGACATTGAAAAATCCAATTCACATGCAGTTGTTGCACACTTGCAACCATTTATTTAAACAACTCTACTGGCATCTGTTATTCTTATCAAAACAGTACAGTGTCTATTGGAAAGGTTTTCATGTCATTTTTATGCCGAGATCGGAATAGAGAGAGTAGGCAAATTGTGAAGATAAAGCATCCGGTTACCTTGAATACTCGCTTGTTCCGAACTGTTTAGAACTGAGCTTTCAGAGGTTATTTGTTTGTCCCATGATATAATTCGCAGAATCCCTGGTTCTCGCCATTGGCGATGATACGACGTAACAACGATCTTCTAATAATAGCCTTTCTCGTCGAGTTTTACAAATTTTAAAGAAACCATTATCTTCTTGCATTTGATAATTATCGTTTAAAATCAGATATCAAGTTATAAGCTCGAGAATAATAATTCAAGCGATTACAGTTACCAAGCGGAGCGTTCTTCACCACAAACTCATCAGCCTTAAGAATTGACGTCTACATGACATAGTATCCACACTGATGATATAATAATGCAAATTTAAACTTTCTATTATCACTTGGCGTAATCTCCTAACACTACACGGCACAATATCTCTCGAACAGTTGCATTGGATAATTTAATTATTTCCATATAGACACTAGGCGTGTACTTTATAATTTTTAGCTCTAATTTCACGGCTTTCTTTCATATTCGTTAATTAGTGACAATTTAGAAATAATACGGTTTTATCTATTGTTTGCCGAAAGTTTAAAACTTTAAGATCTTTCATTCCAGTCATGCTATGATTATTAATTGTGAAGCAATTTTAGCATATAATACAAGACTAACCAAGTCACCGACGATTGAAAGGTGGGATCGTGAATTTTTCGCCAACGTTCCTCCTATTTTATTCATAACTCATAAGTTTTATGATGAGAAAATTCTTGGTCTCCTAAAAGATGAAATTTAGTGCTATTTAAACAAGTTTATAACAAGGTTGCGAAGATTTCTATACAATTTAAATGCAGTTTAAACTTTGGTATGTCACAAAATAAGCCACAAACTTTAATTCCTTATATAATGTTGAATAAAAAAATATTTATTTAAAGTTACGAACTTTTAGATCATTTAAGCTTAGATCTCTATGTTGCCATTGTAATGGTAAATTTGAAAAAAAAAAAAAAGAGAATTTCGTAAATGGAAAGAATGTATCGTAGCCGTAGAAAAATTTCAGAATTTTTCACAAAAGCCTGTGTCCGATTATCAAATATATTGCTAAAAAATAACAATCATATGAATAATGGTCATATATGTAAATACGATATATTTTAATTTGAGCAATTTTACATTTGAAGGAGGTATCGGATCAAAGATTCTTCACCTCTCTTCGAACCTTAAAAATAAATAACAAAATGTAGGCTTCGTTGGTAAGAGTCAATCGATTTAACGGGTTACGTAATATTTGTGGAAGAAAACAGCGCAGCATCCCCTATGACCGTTTAACTTAATGAATTTCCCATGACAATTGTAAATGTCACATTGCACACATTCGTTGGGTTCGAACATGAAAAATGCTCAGAATCGATTATACCATCTTTATGATTTGCGTCTAATTTCCTAAACAGCACCAATCGAATCCGAATCCAGGCCAATCGAAGTTCCATAAATTTATTCCAGCGTAATGCACATGAAGTTCGTATCAATAAATATCATCATTGAAAGATTTGATGAAGATTTGAAGAATTTTGAAAGATATTTGATGTAATAAATTCATCAAATAAGAAAAATATTATTGTATTTATCAATAAAACGATTAATAACGTGAAGTAATATATATTTTAATTTTAATTTTTTTTTTTTTTTTTAACTTAATGTATATTGATTATATTCATTACAAATAATAATTATTCAAAATTAAAAATAAAAAATATTTGGTCATTATAGTTTTATAATTACCATGCACTAAAGATCTTATATATATATATATATATATATATATATATATATATATATATTTTTATTTTATATTTTATATCTTAAATTACTTAGCCTATTCTTAATTTAAATTTTAAATCTTAAATTACTTAGCCTTAAGTAATTAATTGTACGTCTTTTTAGTAATCAAACGACAAATATGTGTTCTAAAAATACATTCAGTAACGTTAAATTTATATTAGATGTATATATCCGATTATTAAACTTAATAAGATCTTGAAGGGAATAAATTTGTTAAATGATTTTTCTTGGGTAATAGTAAAGTTAGAGTAAGTAAGCTCTTGCCGTTTAATCCAAAGAGGGCCCGTTCCTCCTTGAGTTTAGTTGTAAATTTTTCTATTACGTCTAGTGTATTCAGTTTCACAACCAGTTTCGCATAAACGCGGTAATAAATAATGCCGCAACTCGTTAATGCAATCGCATAGCTCGAGCATCTTACGTTTAAGTTTGCGCGTCTATATTATATCCAGACATATTTTTTGCATACATATATACCAGCACCATGCCATTTCCCATTGGCTATACCTCTTGTATCTAAGAAAAGACGAGAATAGTATGAAATTGCTATATAAGGCGGTTCTTCCTATCAGTCATTCCCCTGTCCCAGCCACGTTCGCCACTTGGCTTGCAATTTTATTGGCGAATTCAGTAGCAAAATCACCGGATACGAAACGATTTAAGTAAGTTATGTTTGGTTATATTCGATATTGTCAAACAATTTTCATTTAGTTGCACCGAGACCCAACAATGTTACGTACACGTGTCTATAGAACTTTATTAGTGAACGATATATTTTACATTCCTAGCATGTCGAGATGTTAGGAAATATGAGCCACAATATTACAATTTAAGACAATAGTGGGCAAATATTTGTTGAACCTATGGTACGTTTTATCAATACTGCGCTTCTTTATCGCTTCTTTATCAACAACAATTTCAATAATAATTTAAAAATAATATGTATATAATGTAGTAAAGTAGCAATTGGAACGTTTTCTTTATGAAAAATGAACGTATCGCGTTGCATAAAGTATGCTCGTCGTATATCGTTCTTTTTTGCGAATTGTTAATTCAAGTCACGAATCCAATGGTTTATAGTAAAATGGGTCCGCGAGGTCGAAATAATCTGTGCCGCTACCAAAGCCTAATTACGTGAATAAATTTACGACAAAGGAAACTAATACTGGCACGTAGAGAGTTAAAAGTATACCGTGTAGTCGACCTAAAGGTGAGAAAGTATTATTTTCGGTTACGTTGAAAATCAAAATGTGTTTGACATAGTTGGATATTGTCCAGGCTCAATTTCAATCCTAATTCATTGCATTTTTCAAAAACATTAGCTAATATTGCAGATGCTATCGAAAACTATCGATACATAGCGATGAACTTAAATATATAAATCGGCAAAGTAATAATATATAATGTGTTAATAATAACTCTCTCTCTCTCTCTCTCTCTCTCTCTCTCTCTCTCTCTCTCTCTCTATTGAATATTTTATTATAAGTAGAATAATATTCAGAGCAATCTGAGGTTATTAACCTTAATTATGTAAATGAGCTTGTTTTTACTTGTAACGCACTCACTTAAAGTTAATGGCTATACAATTTTCTCAAAGACAGTGATTGATCTAAATTACTCGTACAATAAGCACGAATATAATTATATTGATAAACGGAACTCATTATTGGAAAATTTTATAAAAAGACAAAAATATCGTTCATGATTATAAATATTTCAAAAGGTAATACTTAATATAGAAAAATTAATCGCCCAACTTTCATTTTCAAACATTATGCTGTACATCTTTCCGTAGGCACATTTTCCTTTTATAGGAATTCTTTTGTAACTAACATATAGGCTTTATACCTTTCGTTTCAGCAACCTTTTTCAATTTTACTTCTCACGAAGAACACGTCATCGTTTATCAATTGTCTCTCTAAATTAATGAAGCTATAGATGAGTATTTAGTGAGTAACCTTGTATTAAATCAACACATACGTGCGTATATGTATGTGCAATGCAATTTATTATTTTATTGTATTTCAATGGAACAAAGGCTAAAAATTCCATTATATTATTATATTACTATATTATTATAATATTATAGATATTTAATAGCAAGATAAATGATGAAATAATTTAATTTATCAAAAACAGTAATAAATATATATACTGATGAGGTATTATTAACGTCAACTGCAAACAAAAAATTAATTTAAAAATTTCATAGTACTTGAAGATTATTTTTTTATTCTTTATAGAAATTTAATTTATGTAGAATCATTGCTTTAATTCATATTAAATGGTACTATTTATGAAAATAATTAATGATACATATATATTTATTTATTTATTTCTGAAAGAAGCGCATGAGTATTAAAATTTTTTATACGCCTTTTACGACCTTTTCAATTGAAGTAAGATAATTTTAAACAACATAAAATAAATGATATATTATTTTATTTCAAATATATTGAATAAATATAAATCAATCGTGTATGGTCTAGTCGATTAAACAATAATAAAACACGATGTAAATAAACGTGGTAGGACGACTAAATTTTTCGAACGAGTAATTCGCCGTAAAAGTATAAAAATGATTTTCCACAAATTTTTATGATGTAATGTATAATGAAAGTTCGTGCCATTGAAGTAAATATTTATTACATATGATGAGGCGCACGTGTATACTTACATTAATAAATGTGCATTTATGCATGCATAAACGAATGTACATAATGAATTCGTACATTACGTATGCACTTGTTTAAATGCACATGCATAAGCACGTATTATACGACGGGACTGTTAATTAAATTATTTGTATACTTAAAAGTATATCTATTCTACAAGCTTTGAATGAACTGAAGTCTAATAATAATTTATCAATAACATTATTTCTTTACCAATTAAAAGTTCCCTAATTATTATATTCTGTGTAGAGAATGTTAATGCATTCCTTGGAACATACCACTTTCAAATGTTAATTATCGTTATATTATTAAACGATTAAACGGTATAAAAATAATAACAATTTCATGTAATTAAAATGTAATGTAAATATTATACGTATATAAATAAATTTGTATGTACTTATTCACTTTACGCAGAAATAAACTGAGAGTTTAAGATGTTTACTCGATGCACCGAAGTTAAAATTTTGTTATGGATAAAATCTGAAATTTTTAAGACAAGGTTTTGAAATAACCCATTTACAAAGTTTCGAGTAAATTTATGCTGTATGTTTAAAATTATACATATCCGTTTTTATTTTAAATCTTAAATTTTCAATTCCCTCGCATACTTTAGAAATAATTAATTTTTAATGCTGTTTAAACTTGTTAAACATCCATTACATCTATTATTAAAAATAAACGAGAGATGATCTGTAATTGTAAAATATTTAGCTTTATAAGGAAGACTGGACGTAAAGGAACATTCTAGGTCTTCCGATATTCGACGCTTAAATTATATAAAGATTAAAAAAAAAAGTGTACTACATCCAATTGTGCCTGCCTGTATAATATAAATCTCAATTACCGTTTATCCTGAATTTTTTATTTCCCGGGGCACTCGTTTAAAGGGTAAATATCAAAATTCCTCGCGTGGTTGCCAAATCTCTCCCTAGGAGAGACAGAAACCGTATTTACAAGTGCATCGGCGAGGTTGCCATGCGTAATTCGTGTATCGCTCGCGTAATTTGACTGTAAAATTCTCGTCAAAATGCTCCAACGTCAGCAATGTACTTTTAAATATGTTCGATTCACGAAATATTAATAAATACGATTTGGTTTATTAGTGAAAAGCAATAGATGAAACGATAGATGAAATTTTATATAAACTTTTAGAGTAATTCGAGTGTAATTCTAATACAGTTTAGATATATTAATTTTTTTCAATTAAATTGCACTAAAAATTATGTACAATACTTAAAAATTTAGATTAACCAAATAATTAATTTTATGACGATATTTTAATATTATTCTCACGTAAAACTTAATTGATTGATACAATACCAATTGCTACTTCGATTAGGTTTCATACATCTGTTATCAAAAATGGTTTTAGACAATTAAAGTACAGGCAGCAGGTAATATTTACACATGATTATACTTTTTATCCATCATTTAACCGAAAAGTATCGTCCTGAATAATATTACGCGATTATCAATGTACGGCACTGAAAATAAAAATGTCAAAGGTAAAATATTTATCGCAACAACGACGAAATTGAAAAATGCAGGAGCAGAATTTACGTACTCAGCAACTGTGTCAAGAGTGTGTCACGTCGACATCGCGAGTACGTCAAGAACATCTCTTCGTCACATTTTTTTCTGACAGCCTATCCATTCTCCCCACCCCCGCCCCTCACCGCACTCGCTCTATTCATTTCTTTGCACGCGGCTGTCACCAAACGGTCTTCTGTCTTTCTCTCCCGCTCGTTTTCGTCCTCCTTCCATCGCGTTCTTTTCCAATTACCAAATGCGTGCGCGTACACAACCAACGCACCCACCGCGCGCGCGCGTACACACACAATCACGCGCCCTCAGTCAGTCGGACAGTCAGTCAGGCAGGCCTCCCCACCGGACGTATGGCTCGTACTCCACAATCCGTAACACAGATAGTAGATAGAGTGCGCGCGGTGCATTCGCCTCCGTGAGGCCGAGAGGAAGACTTCCTTGGGTTCGCAGTGGCTAGCGACGAGGACGCCGACGATCTCGCCCGGGTACACCGCCTCCACCATTGCCGTTCTCATGAGCCAAGGTACGGTATATCATACTCACGGGCACACGAGTTTGTGTGTGCGCGCGCGCGTGCCAGCGACTGGCGGGCATATTCTCATTTTCTTTGTCGTGTTACTTGGCGTAGTTGTGTGTGTACCCGGTCGAAGGCAGACTAACGCATTCATTCCACGTACACGTGTGCGCACCCACGCTTATCGATTGCGGCGCGTTTACACCGATGTGCACTGGTGAATCAACGTTCGGTGTGCGTGTGCGTGACATTTGTTTGACGTCGCCGTACGTCGTATATGAAAGCACTTGGCTACGCTCGAGGGATGCGCCCGCGTACTTGGTAGGAGCTGGGGCAATCATTTTACGATTGTTTATTATCGTAATGATTCGAGGCCTGCTGTAAGCCGAATTTATTGTCTCCCCCTCCCCATACCCACTCCATAGCCGAATGCAACACTCGATTGAGAATAACAATGGAGTTACACGTCCTATTTTATTCGTCAGCGTACCGTCTCTCTACACTTTAATCGTTGTGTCGGGCAGAGTTGCTTTTAATGAAATGTGTCGCTGTAAATTTTGAGAATGCCGTGGTTAGATACGAATTGGCACTGTACAGTTTCATGGGAAAGCATGTTCGTTGCGTCCGTTTGGAAAGTAATGAAATTATGAGAGAAATAAACCGGGCAGTCGGCAATCCATTAACTATAAGGAGCCACGTTGTTTCTCCCGCCCTTACCGTTACGTTGCGAAGTCGCGAAGTACCGAAGACCGGACATGGTCTTATACACCCAACTTACATTAAGTTTCAAGTGCACCGAGTAAATTTACGTACCCTAGAGGAATCAATTTTCCTGCTCCGATTAAAATGAATTAATGCCTGCCGAATCGATGTTTTCTAAACTAAGCCGCTGCTTATACGCGATGCGTGCGTGCGTGCGTGCGTGCGTGCGAGCATGTGTTTGCTTATGCTGATGATTTTGATCTGGGAAAAGTATTTTGTATCGACAATAATTTATAGTGGAATCATGTTCGTTAACTTGATTATCTATATGTGTTACATTGATACTAACATGATGAAATAAAAGCTCCGATTGAAAGGGAAGAATTTTGAAAATTTAAATACATTGCCAGCACTAGTTGTCCGAGATTTTTTAACAAGAAAAACACACACGATTTCACAATTGTTTTTAACTTGCCATTCAAATATTTAATTTTGAAAAGAATCTTTAATTTATGTTCAATATTCGGGACTTACAACCGTTTGTTGAGTACATCAATTAAAATGATTGGCTTATCTTTGTCTTCTCAATCAGGATACAGTGGATTGCGATAAACATAACAGTTATAAATTACGATAAATATACACACATAAGTTAATAGAAATAGTTATGTTCTACTTACATTGAAGAATATTGAAAATATGTTAATCTTTGGAGAAAATCAATTGTATTCGGTCAATTATTTAAATATGATAATTAGTAATTTTAAAGACATCTGTGTTTTCATTTTGAAATGAAAAAAAAAAATAAATAAATAAATAAATAAATAAATAAAAATAAAAATTAACAATTAAAACACTGTTGTTATATTAATAGTATTTTCAACATAATAGTATCGTTGGACGATTATTTGGCATAAGTCAAATAGTAAATTTCATATTTATTTATAAGACTGTCAATTCAACATTTTTTTTTAACGGTAGTCATAATGAAATATTTTTTGAAATGAAAGCAAAAAAGAGTCTTTCGTCTGTAGAAAACAATAATATTTTCAAATATTGTAACATTTATATTTTATTTAACAATGGCTCTAATTTTGTGTTAATTCTTTTTATTTATTTATTTATGGAAATATATTGAAAATTCATATGTATATTAAAATAATAACAGATAAATTATATAAATAAATGTAAACCTTACTTATTATTATAACAATTTAATAATAATCAGCCATCCCAGTTGAATGTAAATTAAAATATAGAATATCATATTTCATAAGAATTTTAATGATATTTCATTTTTTTTTTTTCCTATTAATGAAAAATTCCCTTTTAAATGTACCCGGATACCATGGAATGATTTATCGTAAAATTTTGATAAGCATTGCGTATCATCGGTTGTAAACCGCAAAACGAAAATTTAATTCTTTTATTCAATTAATCGCATCATAAAATACTAGTAAATTTATTTATAATTTAATTAAACACGAATAAAAATCACATGCACATTAATTGTAAATTTTATATTTGATATTTTATTAATATACGTAAGTATAACTTAACAATGTTAATATTTATACGATTAAACGATTTATACGAAGTGTTTAACGTATTATCGATTTCGTTTATGGACATATTTATGCACTATTTATTTATGAATTAATATGCTATTTTATTATAATAAGTAGTTATTATATAATTTATTAGTGATCTTATTAAAATATTTTGATAATATCGTCAAATAGAAAATTCCTATTGTTTAATGTTATTGAAATTCATGCCAAATATATCATATATATCTTTTTAATTTGCATTTAAATAGTGGAATTTTTTTTTTCACAATGTAAAAATTGCTTGACTGAATTAATCTTCGAATAGGCAATTTATCTCATTTAAAGTTAAATTTTCTAATAGAATTTCTTAATTTTTGACATTTCTTATTATTTTTTAATGTAATCACAAGAACATAATAATTTAAGATTTGATATAAATCATTATAAATAAATCATTGAATTAGTTCGAGATCTAGTGTGGACCATTTTTCTAAATTATCTTTACTTTTTTTTGTTAACTATATAAATAAACTTTCGAAAATTATGAACTTCACATGTAGATACTCATTGTATAAATCATAGTCTTTGATATTTAGATTTTTTAAATTAATATATAACATAACAAATGTTTTGTGAAATTGTAGAATACTCAATTATCTTTATGTGTTGCTGCAATAAATTATAAAGTTAGATCATTGGTAAGAGTTTGGCTGATTCGTGATGATGACTCAAACTGCCAGCCAATTGCATATTATACGTTAATAGATCACACAGCGAATGCATTTATTATGACATAAATTACGTAATTAAGAAAGTATGTAAATTTCTTCAAAATTATCTAGCAAGTTCTAATATTATTATTTATTATGTGAATTAAAAAATAAAATTTTCTTTAAATAACACTACTTTCGGATAACATTGATTTTACATGATAATAAATGCATTAGAAAAATTTTTCACTAATCGATAGGCATAGATCCTTGTTATTTTTATTTTTCGATCACCTCTCCAATAAGAGGTATGGGTTGAACGTATTTTTTCTCTTATGTTTTGCTTTAATTACTCATAATATGATTATAATATATTATCTAATTAATTTATAATATGGTAAATCAGCACGAATTACCTTAATAATAATAAATTTTCTTTAAGTTGTGGATCATTGCCATATTGCCAATCTAAATCCCGTGATTGAATATTGATTATATTTATCAGAAAGTAAGCTGCAGTGACGAAAAATCAACACTGATATGAAATTAAATTTTTTGTAGTTAACAATAAATCTCGAGACATTAAATCATTTCATTGGGAGACTCAACATATTGTAAGTCACTTCTCTGCTTAGTGATCACACTGTATTATTAGGTTTTTAGTTATTTTTGATAAATATATATAGTAAAGAATAATATTATTATTAATTTACTATTGAAGATGGTAATGAATATATTGAAATTTTCATTTTTTTGCTAATTATCTTCAACGATCTCGATCGAACAATAACTCATTTATTGAAAACCTATTTATTTTTATTATTGACCTTATGAATTTCCTTTATTTCTTGGATCACTCATTCTCGCCAATAATCTGTCCAATGCTAGAACTCCAATGTTTATTAATTTATTAATATTAGAGAGTAGAGTAAATACTATAGTTTGCATATTCAACCGTTCACAGGTATTTTTTATCAGATAATATTATTTATTCGTATATTACTTTTACCTTTTATATTACTCTTACTCAAAATTATTAATAATATATTAGTACTAAATAACTATTTCTATTAAAATTTCATCCTACTTTTTGTGCTAATTTAGATAAACGCTACCGTCGAATTAATATAATTATTCTTAGTAATTCATTTTTACATTATTCGTATCTTTTAATTACAATTATTTAAAAATAAATGAGGATTAATATTTAAATACCAATAAATTAAAAAAAAAAAAAAAAAAAAAAAATCATAAAGCTAAATTTATTTAAATTTACAATATGCTGTGTTGACTCAATAATCGGTTAAATATTTTGAACTTAAGATGTTTCCATACGAAAATTGTAGATAAAATATTTCAAGTGTTTTTTGTATCATATTTAATGAGTCATTGTTTGTGTTTTTTTTTAAACAACATCATCAGTTGTTTTTTGAAGTAAATTTGAAAAAGATTAAAGTCGATTTCGACACCCAAAGTTGGTTAGAAATTACAGTGTTTTAAATTTCATTACCGTACAAATAGATGATATTATGAATATCTTTTGTTTCATCTATTTTTGTATTTTAATACATAAAATTAGAAGCTAATATTATGTAAGAAAGAATATTTTTGAAATTTGTTCGACATTTTATTCTAATATTTAATATATTTCCTAATGAATCACACATGAGTGTGGCATATAACGGAAAGAGATTATTTTATTAAAAATTTTTCTGACTTTTTGTAATTAATGCTTGAAATTTAAATTGTCAAGTGAAAAATATTTATATGCGAATGTACTTAATAATGTTAACCCTCATACACTCACGTATTGCACTCAAATTTAATTATATATATATGTTTCTCGCAATCGCACTAAATGACTAATGAATGCGCGACCGCATAATACTAATAAATATTAAAAAAAAAAAAAAAAAAAAAAAAAAAAAAAAAAAAGAAAAAAAAAGAAATTTAACAATGAAATACAATTTTTTATCAATTGTCGATGATTTTAATTCGGTTTTTTTATGAGTACGTAAATGATTTTTGCATTGATAGTAGTATTGATTTTTATTTTCGATTTGCTAAATTATTGTTTGCAACGTTGTTTGAAAATAAACAAGATTTCTATTTGAATTTAATGTTATCGCAAAGAACAGTTTTTATTTACAATGAACACAAATCAGCTGAAGAGAAATTTGTTTCATAGCAGGAACAATGCATTCTCCTAATAATTTGAATAATATGTTATATTAATTTCGTTATTTATCATCTTTGATAAATTATTTTATCTCCAACGTGATATGAATTCAACAAATTAATAACATTATCGGTTAAACGTATTTGTATATAATTGTCATTGTTATTATATTGTCAATTTAAAATATTTTTACTTTAATTTCGTTATCTTATGCACTATCTAAGATTATTGTTGATCGACATAAATAACGAAATACAGCAGAAATCTTTACAAACATGCGGCGTCAAGTTTCGTAAAGTACAATCGTACTAATCTAAAGAAAATCGAGCACAATAGCAAAGCTTTTCAAAGCATTTTAATCCAATTAAGCGCAAGTGCATTTAAATTCTACATCGTGAAAATAAATCAGCTTAAGTTAGGACGGGGAAAAATTTGAAAACAGTAAAAAATAACTTGACTCGTCAAGCTTATTTCATTGTAATACCAGGCGACTCATATTATTAATCGTTTGTTGTAGAAGAGGAGAGTTGTTCGTGAGATAGACGATCGCCCGTGCCAAAGTACACTCCCGCAATGCCCGTAACGAAGATTTGCTGCATCGGGGCCGGTTACGTGGGCGGCCCGACTTGCAGCGTGATCGCTCTCAAGTGTCCGCACATCCGGGTGACGGTCGTCGACAAAAGCACCGAGCGCATCGCCCATTGGAACTCGCAGAAATTGCCCATCTACGAGCCCGGCCTCGACGACGTCGTCCGTAAGTGTCGCGGCAAGAATCTATTCTTCTCCACGGACATCGCCCAGGTCAGTATTTATTTCCCTCGTTTCCAGCTGCTTCTCTGTTGCCGTGCCTTTCGCGACCGCTCGACACGATAATTCAATAGGAGAAGAGGCGATCGTGGAAAGCTTTAAAAGCCGCGTACGTCGAAAGGCTATTTACCATTAATTGCCGTTTAAGCAAGATTTCGATGAACGTGAGCTTCGTTATTTCCAGTTTCTTCAACTTGGGTATTTTCCCGCTGGCCCCGCGATTCCATCTAGCTCTCTTATATTAGTGCATATCGTTCCAATTAATTTATCGTAACGTCACCGGGCTCGCGTTTCCCTCTCATTAAACCTTCGACATACAATGCCAACTCCGTTTAATAAAGAGACGACCTCGAGGACTAATTTGGCCAGGAGCATTACAGGACCGGTTGACGCTATCCAATACCGATTTCCTGTCTACTCTTCGTTACATATTACAACAGTCGTGATTAACAGCCTACTTAATTTTCCAAAGCTTCGGCTTTGGACACGGATCGCATTTTTATATTGCGTACGCTGCATGAGTCCTTCATTCGAATCATTCGATAATCCCCATAATAACATAAGTTACTCTCGATCCTTGCAATCGCCAAGGCCACTAACCAAATGAAACCTCTAAATTCGTTATGCTAAATTGGTAATAGGCGATCGAGGAGGCGGAACTAATCTTCATTTCGGTAAACACGCCGACGAAGATGTTTGGTAATGGCAAAGGCAGAGCCGCCGACCTGAAGTACGTGGAGAGCGCGGCCCGGATGATCGCGGACATCGCCGCAGGTGACAAGATCGTCGTGGAGAAAAGCACAGTGCCGGTGCGGGCAGCCGAGAGTATCATGAATATACTGCGTGCCAATCACAAGCCCGGAGTTTCTTATCAGGTACGTGGGCCTTATCTCGTGGACGAGATGCTCGCTTTTCATGTCCGCTGGCTGTGCGGCCACGACGGAGTCACGCCTCGTTACCTTTCGATCGTGACTGCGGACCACAGCCGAGACTCAGTACTGTTGCATTTCCCCTTTATAGATCGATAAACACATTGGCTCAGCATTGCGCAATGACGGAACCAAAGGGAACGAAAGAAGCGTGTTTTTATGGGGAATTACTGGAGGTTTTGGTACGTGAAATAAGATGGGATTGCGCTCCGTGCGACGATAGGTGCTGTGGAAGTACTTGAACTGTTTGTTCCAAAGGCGATTCGTTATATTTAGATTTAACGATGTCCAATTATTGAATAAAGTGCCTTCGGGAAAGGGAAATTTCAAGTAGAAAATGTAATATTAAAGCGAACGTGCAACTTTATGGAAGAATTGGTTTTCTTACGAGCGTGGCGTGCTCGAGAAATCCAATTTAACGGCATAGAAATGCCTATTATGCAAAAATAAATAAAACTTTGAATTAAATTATTTTGTTTCGAAGTCGATGTGTTTCGTGTAAGAGTTGTACGAAATAAAAAGACGACACAATGAACTATAATACCAATTAACTTTATCCTTGGGAGAGTTACTTTACATTGGCAATGTGGCTCTTATTAAATGCATTTCAATTATATAAGAACATATTTGTTTGTAAGGATTGTATGAGAATTATTTATCCAAAGCAATTATCAATAATGGACGATATTCCATAACGGCAGCTAATACGAGTAAAATTTATTGTTCAATTGTATTTTATTGCGTCATGTAGCATATCATAAATGTAGCCTTAACTATAGCGTAACTTGAAATTGTATATATATATGTGTGTGTGTGTGTGTGTGTGTGTTGTTGTTGTTGTAGATTTGCTTAAATAGCATTGGGTAATGCAATTAAAATGTTTATATTGTTAATGGTTATAATGTCTGACACTCGTAATTAGACGAAAATAAAATTAAAATAGGTATGGTATAAATATTTTTCTTATTATTCAATGAAATTTTCAGGTGATTTAAAAATCACTATCAATTTGCTAGAGAAAATTTATACTCTATTCATTTCCATATTTATTGGTTAATAAATTTAATGGAGAAATTTTAATTGCATGTAAGAAGTAAATATAAAAAAAAACATATAAACTATTCGAATAGGTATAAAATACTAGAAGATGATGATTTTAATAGACGTAATCTTCGTACGCCTTCATCGAGAATAGATTCTTATGTACACATAATAGAAATATTTTTGTTGAATTATGAAGTGCGTTAATTTATCAGAGTAAAATATGCGAAGTTAATTATAAAGACACCGGTACCAAGGGTATTTGTTTCAACAGGAAAATCGAATTTTTTTTCTTTTTTTTTTTTTTTTTATTTTTTAACAAATACCATAGACAAAACACACAAACAACGTACTATGTTTTAGATTTTATCCAATCCTGAGTTTTTAGCCGAAGGCACAGCAATCGATGATTTAATAAATGCCGATCGAGTATTAATTGGTGGTGAAGAGTCACCAGAGGGTCAAGCAGCAATTGAACAACTTTGTCAAGTTTATGAACATTGGATACCACGAAAAAATATCCTCACTACTAATACATGGAGCTCCGAATTATCCAAACTGGTTTGTAATATTGATATTTTTTTAATATTTACATAGAAATATGTAAATATTTTTCGCCTCAATGCTATTTATCTTCTTCGCGTAATTGAGCAATTAAATAAAAATTTTAAAAACTATTGTCCATTTGAAAAAGATTTTTTTGAATATATCCGATTTCGACATTTGATTCGCAATTTACTATTTGTAATCCATTAGGTAGAACGATTTGAGAAATATTTAGCTTAAAATTAAACATACGATCAAACGAACGTAAAAGTTTCATTATAAAATAAATTGATAAGAACGCTATTGATTTGAAATATTGATATGAAAAATTTTTTATCTTAACGCTATACAATATAAAATGCTACAACTTTGTAAATATTTAAATGATTTGGAAACCACATGTGTATTTGAGTACTACGTATGTGTATTGAAGATTAACTAATTTCCTGATATATTTTTCGCATTTCATATTTTTCACTGTAATTTTAATTTATCGTACATAATGTAGTCGAGAGTTCAATATAGATGGCTATATATAAGGATTTTTAAAGAACGTCAGAATAACGAAAAATACCATAATATAATAAAAACATGGAGATTAATAAATTTCAATTACATTATAATTCCCGGAATGCTCAACATGATATTTAAAAATTCTCAAGGTCAAGATAACGAATTGAAAGTATGCATTTTAAAAGATTTTTGATTGTTCAGTACATATGACGAGCTCGACTACAAATAACAGTAATTAGCAATATTATTCATAAAAGATTTATAATTCTTTACCTTGGCATGATGAAGTTTACGATTCATCGATGCTGCATACATTTTTATAACCTGCGAGGAATTAATACGCAATTAAGAGTCGAGCAATTCCATTACCCATCGACTGTCGATAATTTTAATTACACACTACATCTTGAACCCCATGAGCATCGTTACATGAAATCCCAATAACACAAAAACCAATGGATTATGTAGGCTGCCAACGCCTTCCTCGCCCAAAGGATATCCAGCATAAATTCATTATCGGCGGTATGCGAAGCCACAGGTGCCGATGTGTCGGAAGTGGCCCGTGCCGTTGGCTTGGATTCGCGAATTGGCTCCAAGTTTTTGCAAGCGTCCGTCGGCTTCGGCGGCTCCTGCTTCCAGAAAGACATTCTCAATCTCGTTTATATATGCGAGTGCTTGAATCTCCCTGAAGTGGCCGCCTACTGGCAGCAAGTTATCGATATGAACGAGTACCAAAAGTCAAGGTTTTCAGCCAAGGTCAGTTCGCTGGAAATTAGAAAGTATTGGCAAATTAATGCACTTTAATAAGCTGTGTGTCGGAAAGTGACTTGGCGACTGTGTTTGAAAGATTTCTTCATTGGGCGCGTAATTTTTATGCTCGTTGGAGTGATTGGTTGGTTCTTACTAAAGTGCTCTAAATTAGCTGCTTAATTAGCATTACACAGCCAATTGTTATTTCAACGTAAAGCATTTGAAGAAGCGAATTTATTTTATATTTTTACAACAAAAAAAGAAGAAAAAAATGTTTTGTTTTTTGTTTTTTCGTTTAAGTAGATTTTCTTTTTTTTTTCTTTCGAAAAGTATCTACTGTACATTTCTATCTTCTTTTGCATGTTGAGTACTTAACAGTTGTACCTGAACGAAATTAATATTTATAAGAACATTAACGTTTTAATCGCGCCTAGTAAGAGTATGAAAACGAAGTCTATTTGCTCAATAAATGATTAATTTTACTTTGTAACTGTATTCTGATATTGCCATTGTGAATCTTTTTAGCATTTTGCTCTTGACCAAAAGTAAAAAGCCTTTGTAATACTTAAACTCGCATGATTATCATTCCATAACGGCTAGATATTAATAATATTTTGTATTTGCAAGAGAATCACGCGATAGCGAGAAAAGCCGTGTTAAATCAACATTTACATACGCAACAATATCGCCAAATAACGAGGTGAAATTTACTGGTTATTGCGACAGGTGATCGAGTCTCTCTTTAATACGGTAACGGACAAGAAAATTTCCTTGCTGGGATTCGCATTCAAGAAGAATACTGGCGATACCCGCGAGTCGCCGGCCATTCACGTAGCCAAGACGTTGTTGGACGAAGGAGCCAAGCTGCACATTTACGATCCCAAGGTATGTAATCCGTGTAAACGATCCTTTCATCGTGTTTCATAATGGCCCAGGCACATAAAAGTTTATGCGCTCTCGCCCTGCGTGATTCATGATAAAAAGCAGCCTAACAAGCTGACTGCGTTGTACGAGTCGAAAAATACTTGTACTACTACTATAAGGCACTATTTAGTGTTTTTGGCTCAAGGAATTTAGTAGAATTAAGCGTCGTTTACGTATTAGAGCTTTTTCAGAATGATTTTATTTCAAGTTTGTATTTCTTTGACTTTTGTTTAAACCTAGCGTCTGCATTTATTTTACCACTATTTTTAAATTGGATTCTACAAAAAACTTCTTACAAAAAGCCGCTCGAGTTAATTATGAAGACGAAAGATAAATAAAAGCCTAACACATTGCAAATGTATTATTAAAACGAAAGAACAGTTATTCTTTATTGATTGTTAGTTAGATTGAAAATCGCTTTATCTTATGCGGTGTAGGAGAAAAATTAAATTATTTTTCTCAGAATTTCATATAATTAAATAGTTCGGCAAAGTAAAGCAACGCGCTTCTCTTAGCGTAAGGATTAAAAATTGCGGAATCGTAAGACGCTGAAATTTCAGGAATTAAGCGTTGATTTATCGTATTACAAAAAAAAAGAAAAAAGAAAAAAAGTCGAGGAATTTCTAGTGATACATCATATTACGTAAAATGTTTATCCATATTTTAATTTTTAGAAAATAAATGTAGTGTAAATTTACAATTCAAATGATTCCCATTGTTTTAGGTCGAAGAATCACAAATTCTTTTAGATTTATCTCATCCTGACGTGACAACCAATCCTGGGCATATTAAAAGCAGAATCAGTATTTACAAAGATGCATACAGCGCCACAAAAAATACCCATGCAATTATCATATGTACAGAATGGGACGAATTTATGGTAAATGTGACATATTCAGCATAATTAATTACATCCTAATCGCATTAACGCAATTTAAGCGGATAATTATTTATGCGATTTATCTATTTATTTAGCAATTGGATTATAGAAGAATTTATGCAGATATGATGAAGCCGGCATATATTTTTGATGGTAGAAAATTCCTCAACCATGATCATCTTCAAAAAATTGGATTCATTGTGCAGACCATCGGGAAGAAACTAATGAGAACTACAGTCTCGAGGGCTTGGGGGAGTCAAACGCAAATGTAAACCACATCCCGGTATTTTCAAATAATTGATGAAAATGTGATTGATTGTATATTAGGCGCGTTTTATACTTAAGTAAACAACTGCCACTATCTCGACATTTTTACATATTCAGTTTACAGACACATTTTAAACATATATTACATAGTTTAACAACAATTATCATATTATTTTGTTATGTTACATATATTTTATATTGTCGCAAAAGTTTTAAACTATATTTTTGTTATTATACATAAATATTTTTAAGAATTTTGACTTTTAAATATTATGATCAATCTATGCATGAGTAAATATAATTACTTGTATTTTTACTTGCTCGCTCCTATTTGCAAGTAGCTATATGTTTTAGAGCGTAAATTTATTTTTAAACTTTGGCTTTTATAACATTTACACAGCAATGTAATACATGTTTATTTATAAGTATTATTACGATAGTGCTAAAATATTATAAATAATAATGTATGCTCGACAAAGATATTTTCAATAGCTTGAGGTATACATAAAACGGTGCTAGTTAACTCAGTCGATAAACTCCCATGATTTGCGGAGACATCATACTACTCATTCATAAGTATTGTAAATTATATATTATACGAAAATTTTTGTAATTTTTAATAAACTATAAAACAAAAAAATATCTAGGTTAACATATCATCAATAATAATAACGAGTATCAAAATATTAGAATAATATGCTCCAAGCAGACTTATTCAAAATCAAATAAATCTGGAAAAGCTCGATAAATATGACACTGTCAACGCAACGACTTTAATGTTTATAAAAAACGAATTTATGTTTAAAATTGTATAAATGTTAATTATCATAAAATGATCAAAAAGTTATTATGAGAGAAAGGCAATAATTTCCTATAATTAATTTATATTAGAGAAAAATATAAATGGTCGTTAAAATATTATGTAAGTATATATGCAACGGCTTGCATTTTTTCTATGATATTGTAAATAAAACATATTATGATCAATGAAATTATATTTTCCATATTGTAAAAGTAACTTGATTTCTAAAAAATTTTCTACAATACATGTATCATCAAAATTAATAAATTATTACAAAATTCTGCTTATAACCAAAATTGAAATAATAAATAATAATTTTAATGACATACGAAACATTTTATTAAAATTCATTGTCTTTTTATACAATATTGATATCTATAAATTATCTAATTAGATCAATAAATGTAGATACATACAATTAGAATAGTATTTAGATAGAATATTAATGAAATATATTATGTAAAGTCATATAAGTGTATAATCACAAAAACATTATTAAATGCATTATTACATTTAAATATTTATTAAACAGTTATTGTAAGCAATAAATAAAGTAAATTAAAAAATAAACTTTGTAAAACCTTCGCAAGCTTCAATATTCACAATAGGCCAATAGTTATTTATAAAAAAATTTAATTTTTTCAAAGTTAGTGGAAGAAATTGAATTAAAATTTCCAAGTCTTATTTACCATAGTAGCTTGTCATAAAAAATGTATTACGAAGTACATAAATTAATATATAAAAATAATTCAAGTATTTTGTAAGTAAAATTATTCCTTTTTTTTTTTTCTTTTATTAACTACGATATAAAATGAATGGTACATCGATCAATATTATTATATTGTATATTCATTTAATTTACCATTATATTTAGCAATAAATTATGATTATTATTGTAAATCTATCATTTTTATCGATTATGTTATTTGTTGATGGATGTGAGATATGAAAAATAATGTAAAAAAATGTAATTTCTTCGTACTTGTATATTAAAATATTATTGAGGTCAATATGAATATTTTTTAGCTTTATATTTGAAATAGTAGAACTATTCAGTTATGATAAATCGTAGTGATTTAGATTTTAAAATAGTTTCAAAAATGAAAAAATGTGATATTGTATGATGTCGAAGTGATATTGTATGAAGAAAGGTTTAATAATAAAATATTGGTCTGAGAGTAACGGGAATTTTGATTCAAGAATTTCGTAATGTGACATTTAATAAATTACAATATTCGATAATTTATCTGTTTACAGAAAAAATATCTTTTAAAGCAATCGCTGAGACTTCTATTATTCAATCTTAAGATTTAACAGATATAATAACGTTAAATCTTAAGATTGAATAATAGAAGTCTCAGCGATTGCTTTAAAAGATATTTTTTCTGTAAACAGATAAATTATCGAATATTGTAATTTATTAAATGTCACATTACGAAATTCTTGAATCAAAATTCCCGTTACTCTCAGACCAATATTTGTGAATATTATGATAATCTTAGTGTTTTTCAGATCATTTTAGACGTGATAAGATTGATCCAATCGCAAGAATTTCGACCGAAAGAAAAAGTTCATTTCGTATTGTAGTATCTTTAATGGACGCAAAGAGTAAAAAATGTAATTATTTTTAAAATAATCATTTTTCATGTAAAACAATAAAATATATGTATATAATAATGTGTATATTGTTAATGTGTAAGTTAAATAGTCAGTATCAAAGACTCGTATACTTTTAATTAGCACCATATTCATGAATTGTCGATAACGGCATCCTAATGAAATATTCGTATTGTCATTTACTATCTATAGAATTTTTGAAGAAAAACTTGTGGGCGCTCGATTCTAGCAATACCAAGAATCTTCATTAATTAGAACATTAATAAACAATTGACGTGCGGGAAGTGCTCATATTCAATTGAAAAAAAGCGTTCTCTGATTATAAAGTAGTCGTGTAGTCTTTTTGTCCCCTTTACGACATTCGCGCGAGCACGCTCTCTCTCTCTCTCTCTCTCTCTCTCAATCTCTCGTCTCACAGAATCTCGCTGATCCGCGCAATAACAATTTATTCGACTATTGATATGGCGCAAAGTCGAGCGGCGCACGAGTTTTCAAAACCAGTTTCTATAATCCATGCGATGGTGGGCGGGTAGGAGGTAGTACGTCCCGCTGTTCCCTATGCACCGCATATACGCGTACATCCGCCCCCGAATACATCGGCGTACTTTCAAAAAAAGTGGCGGGGGCCGGGGGCGGCGGCGCGGCCGTGGAACAAGGTGGCCGCATTCGAATCTCCCGCGGCGTCGAAGGGCGCGTGCGCGGCCCCAAACGCGCAAAAAATAGAAGGAAAAGTGGCTGGTTGAGCGAGCGACCGCAGCGACGTCGAAAACAACAGCGGCGCAACTCCGCGGCCGCGGCGCCTGGGTCCATTACGTTATCCGCGATTCGCGCCGCAGCCTATAACCCGCGCGGCGAGTCCCCTCCGCAAACAGTCTTGTAGCCGCGAGTGTCGGTGTCGCGAGGCGTCTCCAGCGGTTCGACGAGGACGCGCCAGAATATCCCCGTGTAGTCCAGGCACGGCACATCGGCTCCGTGTCCTCGGACGCGCTCCCCCGTTACTTCCATCGACGCCAGGCCCTCGCCGAATCCTCCTCCGTTCTCCTTCCGCGTGTTTCGCGTGTTCTCGTGTGTCCCACGTCTGTCGAGCATCGACGCTCTCGCGAGGGGAGCAGCGGGCCGAGCGAGCGGGCCGGCAGCGTAAGGGAGAGAGCGTGAGAGAGAGCAAGAGAGAGAGATAGAGAGAGAGAGAGAGAGAGAGAGAGAGAGCGTGCGTGTGTTTGTGTGTGTGCAGAGCCTCGAAAATGGCCGCGTGCTACTACTACCGTCGCTGCTGCCACTCGCGTCGAAGGAGACGTGGATCCGTTGGCGGCAGCCTCCCCTGAGCCTCGGCCCCATTGGATGATGCCCCGGAGAAGCTGGGCCCGAGCGAGAGGACGGCCGACGGAGCTTAATAATAACAACAACAACAACAACAACAACGAGAAGAATAATAACAACAACAATAATAGTAATAATAATATTGACGTTCCGGAGCGGAGCTAATGCCAGTGCACGTGCGGTTAGCGCCGGACTTTTAAACGGACGCACGCACCCACCCCACTCCACTCCACTCCACTCCTACACTCCTACACACTTCAACACTCCAACATCATCCGTGGCCTATCGCCGCCTCGCGAAGCCTCCCCGACGCACCACGGCCAGGGCGAGCCCCCAGCGGCCGAGTCAGGGGACCGCGAGGATGCCGAGGACGACGTCCTGAGCAAGGAGGAGCCCGGCCAAGCTGCTTCTCGTCGTGGGAGCTACGGTCGCCAAGGATGACGAGGAAGGGTTTCGCGCTGCTGCTCAGCGGCTACGGCTACTGTCTCGCGCTCCTCTGCTTAATCCACGCACCGCTGCTTGTTCAAGGTGAGCTATTTGTCCCCCAGGCTTTCGCTACTTTAACCTCTCGGTCGCAACACAGCCGGCGTCCGCTCGTCTTTTCCTTGGCGAGGATCGCCTCTCGAGCGCCGCGCGCCCGTTCTCCCCAGGCATGACTTTATTTATGTTCCCGCGGATGCCCGGCCTCTTCTCTTTCTCAATCTCCGTCCTCCTTTACTCGCGACGTCGTCGTCGTCGTCGTCGTCGTCGTCGTCGTCATCATCATTATCATCATCATCATCCTTCTCCTCCTCCTCCTCATCATCATCATTATCATCATCATCATCATCCTTCACCTCCTCCTCCTCCTCATCATCATTATCATCATCATCATCATCATCATCCTTCTCCTCCTCCTCCTCATCATCATCATTATCATCATCATCATTATCATCCTTCTCCTCCTCCTCCTCCTCATCATCATTATCATCATCATCATCATCATCATCCTTCTCCTCCTCCTCCTCATCATCATCATTATCATCATCATCATCATCATCATCCTTCTCCTCCTCCTCCTCATCATCATCATTATCATCATCATCATCATCATCATCCTTCTCCTCCTCCTCCTCATCATCATCATTATCATCATCATCATCATCATCATCCTTCTCCTCCTCCTCCTCATCATCATCATTATCATCATCATCACATCGTCATCACCGGCTACCGCCCCGTATCGCGACTCTTCTCCTCCCGCCCCAATCGGCTCGCTTCCACCGTCAACCCCCAGCCCCACCACCACCTTCGCCATACGTCATTTTACACGGAGAAAGCTGTAAATATTGTCACGCGTGTTCCTGCGAAATTTGTGAATGAACGCGCGGGTCAATATTGTCATAATGGAAGGCCGTGGCCAAGGGGTGCGCGGCGATTACCCTTGGTTATGTCGACGACGACGGCTCCGCTTGCCAACGAGGAGTCGGCCGGGATTATCGGGAGAGAGGGCGGCCGGCTGCTTATATTTTTCGTGCCCGTAATAAGGAGATAGATGAATGAGGCGCATTGCCCGAGTGCTATTGCGCGCGCGCGCACAGATGCTGCGAGCGTCACGTTTTTTTACGATACTCTTCGTCGGCCGGGAGATATCTTCTTATCTTCTTGCACTGCGAAGAACTGCCGTTTGCCACTCTCCTTTCCACGATCGACCTTTAGGATGATCCTCGATCATCTCGTACACTCAGCCCATCGACGACTGACGCCTAATACAACAAGTTTTATCGGACAAGGTCTCGATAGTCCAGGCAAAAAATCATCCTCCCTATGCTGGGATGCTGGACTGCTGGGAGAGAAAAGGAGACAGACGCAGCACGTTTGAGAAGGTATCGGGAATAATGTGAATTCGAGTACGCGACGGCTTAGAATTAGTTTGTCTTGTCGGTGACGGCGTGCCTTGCTAGGATGGGATAATTCATAGTTGGTTACTCGCGTTGTGTGCGAAGAAAAGTTGTAACGAATAATTTGTAGTGGAAAATATAGAGGCAACCTGGAGCCATTGCAGCCATCTTCTACTTTATTACTATTATTAATATATATATATGCATATATATGCATATATATATTATTTGTATCATCCCTCTTTTTTCAGTTTCATAATATTATATACAAAAATATTAGAATTGGTAATTATTACAAGTGTTTATCCATTTATAACATTAGGTACAATGATTACGCCTATTTATATATTTTTGGACACACACAGACGTATGTATAAAGTTAAACGGTCATGATATTTTAATGCTATTTTGGTATTTTATTTTAATGATTTTAACCATATTATGCGTATCGTAGTAGGGCGCAGGTAGTTTTATGAAATTTAAATTATTTATCGCTTATATACCGATATATAATTAGAGTGGTGAGACCTATTTTTTAAATCCATCGGCTTTATTACGTCCCATAAGGTTTGATTTATAATTTAACGATATGTTATTGAAAGCTGATGTTCAGAATCGTGCAGAATTACGTAACTTTTACAACAATTTTTATATTAAATTTTACAGTTGATTTAATAGCTTATCGCATCCTCTGTATGATATTTCATTGTTCACTTGCACATCAATATTTATGCTTATAGATCGCTTTAATGAAAATATTATAATTACGTGTCGAAGCATTTGCACTTCTAAATCATGCATTTCAAAATTAAACATTTTGTTCTTTCATCGTCAATACGTATTTACGGGCAAGTATAATTGACATTGAAATTGTAAATGTCAAGAATTGTGTAGAAAGCAACATAAATGGGAAATCTCGGGATAGACAGAGGTAGAGAAAACTTGTGATTCGATTATCTCTGGATGATTCGTGTACAAGATTAATATTTCTTATTAATTGAGGAGACGGTAAGGATCGTCTTTCTACATCCCTCAGCTAGCAAAGTTCATCGCTAATTCATCGTACTTAATGGAAAAAAAAGGTCATTGTTTAAATAATGGAGAAATTAGGTATACCGTAATTTATCACAATCCGATTCAAATTCCTGTTGGGTATCATGTGAAAAAGTGGACAGCAATGTATTTCAATGCAGTTTATCTGAAAAAAAAAAAGTGGTTTTCTTACCTTCTTGGGATCGGAATCTTATGAACTACATTACACAGCAGCGCCAACCAGTTTGACCTTTACCTCTCGATATCTTGAAAATTGTCCATTTATGGATCTGGTCCGTCAGCGGTTCTTTTATCGGCAAGACAAAATTGCTCAACTTTGGTCAATTTTATGGAAATCACTTAATCAATTCTTCATATCTCAAATCAGGTTAAATTGTTGCTTGCTTTCGGCAATAAATCAAATGATAAATTGCATTGCTCTTTTGCGTGAAAATAAATTGTAATTACATAACGTAACTTATCGTCGCGTTTCACGTACAAATTATACATCGATTACACTGCACATTGACGATATGAGGGAATTATCTGATTTTTGTTAACTTAACAATCGATCCGTAGCTTACTTGCTTGAATGAAAATCTCATTTCCTTCCGACGATCGTTATTATTAAAGGTAATTGTTGTCAATCGTTATCATTGGTAAAGGCAAATTTTTTAAAATTAATTCGTTAAAACAAAGAAAAAAATGGAAAAATTAAAAGACAGCATTTAAACAATTTAACTAGTGAGCGAAAGAGAAAGATTGAAATAAACAAAGATGAAGAAAACGGGAAAAGATGTTGCAAACGTTTTCATTACTGAAGATACTTATTAAAAGAGAGTAATTATCAAGTATTCGAGAGGGTGTTGATCGAATACTATTTCTCTTTTCTCAGTACCGCTAGATTACTAAAATAATTTTCATTCCCAATTTTATTATTAATACAAGAGGTTTTAAATCCTATTGATCGAAGGAACTTGGATGCCGAATAAAAGTGGAATTGAAAGAAAAGCTGGTTACAGAGAAAACACGAGGACGAAACAATGTGAACTTTTCACAATAGTCATTCTTCTTTTAATTTTGAAAAGGAATCCAATTGGAAAGTATGCAATTTTCACTCTAACGGGACGAATCTACATACACTAAACGTAGACTTTTAGCATGACAGCCCGTGTATGAGCTTTAGAGCTTGGTGGTTATAAAGGAGGAAGGGAAATACTCGAGAAAGAGTAGATAGGAGAGATAGATAGATAGATAGATAGAGAGAGAGAGAGAGAGAGAGAGAGAGAGAGAGAGAGAGAGAGTGTGATGGAGGGATAGTGTGACAGAGGGTCGGGGGGAATGGGAGGAAGTGAGACGGAGTGCCGGAGGAGCAAGAGGAGATCGATATTACGCGAAAAAAGCGCGACGTGTTTATATTTTATATACATGCATATGCCAACGCCGCCTCCCTTACATCATGCGTTTGTGCATTCACGAGATAATCTCGAATGTAAGGGCCAGAATTTTCGTAACATATGCATGAAATCGAAACGGATAGACATATATGTTACAGTGGCTATGCGTTATTTGTATAATAAAATCCTTTATCATTTACCGTATTGAATTTCATAGGTTCTTTTGTTTTAATATATTAAGTGACGTAGGCACATTTTAACGGATCTGAGATACTTTACCGACTTTAATGAAGATACGTTCTAATGAATCTCCTCGTTTTATTTGTTGTTTGTTCTACTATAATTATCTTAATTGATATTATTTTCTTTTTTTCTTAATTGATAGGTCTTTTTATTTAGTTAGAATTTCGCTTGCCGATTAAGGGCCAAAATATCTTTAATTTGTAATTGAAAATTAAAATTAATCAATAAATTCATTGCCTATGCTTTTTGCTTTTTATATATCAAATCTCTATTGCAAAAAATATCTGGGATTTTTTTCCCTATTGGGTTAGTTTATTGTATTATAATTGTTAAAAAAAAAAAAAAAAAAAAAAAAAAAAAAAAAAAAAAAAAAAAAAAAAGAGGAGAAAGAAGGTGTATATGTTCTTTCCCATTATTTCATTGAATTTATTGATGATCTAGTATTTTCTAAAATTCTAAATCAAATTACTTACGTAAGAATAATTTTAGTACCGATTGTATATTAAATACGTGAAACTATTTGTAAAAGTAAGTTCATGCTTATCTGCGTATGTAATAGACCAAAATGATGATATAGACGAAAGTTCTTTCTCTAAACAGACAATACCAAATTTCAAATTCTTGTAATAAGTTAAGCTTTGGAATTTTTGAAAAATATAAAAACTAAAACTCTAAAAATCTTACAATTACTACGTACTTTACATATGTAAAATAATAAGCTTAATACGCCAATTTATTTATAAATAGTTGTTAAATAATTTTATATTAAAATAAGTATTCATACAAGTAAAAAGTAATTGTAAAAAACTATTAAAATCAATGTCCTTTATGCTTCAAAATTTTATGTAATTTTTAAATTACATTTGAAATTTTAAAGAAATTAGCAATCATTCATTGTATACTATCTTTAGCGCTATTTGAAGGAAAGTATTTAAAAAAAAAACATGTTTAAAGTTTTAGAAGTGCTCGGAGCACA